GTCTGATAAAGTACAGCACCTACAAAAAATTAACCTTTTTTTTTTTTTTTTTTTGTTACTTGACTCACCGCATTTGTAGTTTCACCATCGTTGTGGGTATATTTTGGAAGCCTTTTTTTTTTTTTTTTTTATGATTAGATATATAAATGCAACTGCCTCAACAATAACATCAGTAACTCTATTCACTGCTTCATCAACAGATACCTAGTTCACCATTTCTTCCATAAGGTCTGCTAAAGATGAGAAAAATTCCCAATCTGCTCTAAGCAAAAGATAGCGTTCATGTCTTGGAATTTTATTTATCTTGCAAAAAACACAAAAACAGGAAAGTGATTACTATCATTTGTATTTTTTCCTCCACTAAAAGTGGAAAAGCATAAGGATGGCAGATATATGGCTAGACTGATAAGGTGAAATGTCCTTGTAGGCTGCTGGAAGTAGGTGTATTGATTATTATTCACTAAGCAAAGGCCCGGCTCTTCAATAGCTTGCTCAATTTGAGTTCCATATAATCTTTCCCCCCTACCTTCCAATTATGGATTACGGCCACCGAAATATCCTACAACTGCAAAAGGCTCAGGCAGTTATTCCATAAGATTGATTGATATGCTTATTACGTGACAGATAAACTGAGCAAATTGAAATCAATACTGTGACAATGACCTGTACTGCAACAACCTGAAGGCAAATACTGAACATGGTGGCATTAGATGGGTAGTCAAAGTAAGGTGAGTAGTCTGACATCCCCCACTGGTACGATCCGCACCAGAATTATCCTTTATAATAAAACAGTGCCTCCATAGTTTAACAGGCTCATCTGATTTTTAAAATATCACCTATACTGCTATACAGACAGGATGACTTACATGAATCAAATGTTTGATAGTATCAGGACTATGACGAAAACTGCGACAGTTCCACAAAATAAAGGTGGCCATCATGTATGTTCTCTCTGTGCTGCTTTTTGGTTTCAGAAAATGTTTTGGGATTGTCATTCCCTCCTCTATTTGACTCAATTTATGTCAGATTCCATGATGTCAAAGTTGATTATACTTTGGCTTCTTGAAGGTTTCACAGTCTTGCATTTTTTTAGGGTGGGGAGGGAGGCATCCTGATTTTCCATTTTCTGTTTACTTTTTTCTTTAGCTGTAGGTTAAGGTTTTATTGTTTAGCTGTTGTGTGTTATTCAAATTTAACATCTTATGTATATTTAACCAGCGAGCATGCGCGTATGCGCATAATTTATGACAAATTCAGTTTATAATGCACGTTTTTTGCATATTGAAGCTGAGACGTCTGAAGGTCATTTCTATTCCTCCTTTCTACCCTTCCCCACATCATGGAATGTGCCAACAAGAAGTCATTTTGACTTTTTTTTTAACTGAGCTTTTGTGCTACGTGGCAGCTTTTTCATACAAGTTACGACACGCGCGTGGTCATGTTTTAAAATTCGGAAAATATTTTTTTTTCCTCAAATATTTTGTAATTTTGTGTTATTAATTGCTGTGTATTATTTTAATTTGACTACATTTGGCACCGTAAATTTTATATCGGTTTTCAAGGCAAAAAAAATATGTGCAACCAGCTGATTTTGCTCAGATTCTTCAAGAATTATCTGATAAAGAAGAGGAAGACAAGGAAACATTTGGATGGGAGAACAATACCGATTTCCATTCCTTATTTTCTTTTGTTTCTATTTTTTAGAAATAAATAAAAACATTAAAGTTAGTTTAAAGTGCGTTTTTGAAACCAGTAAGAAGTACGTTTACTTGCAGAAGTAAGTAATGCTAAACTTACTTTTTCCCCCTACCAAGGTGTTTACTTTTTTATATTGTCTATACTTGTCTTTGATGTGTATTAAAATTAGCTTCGATTTTAAAATATAATTATTAAATAATAAATTTAAAATTTTCTATAATGAATACATTTCCATCTCACTAACATAAGAACTTAAAAATAATTTACTTATATTTGATTGTGATATTTGTATTTTGCAATAATAAGATTAATATTTTATTTCTTAACAAATTTATTATCAATATTCACTCATTTTCTGTCATTTTCCATGCCAAAAACGGTAAAATAACGGATGTCATAAAAAATATGATGTGCGCATGCTCATGTAAAATTGGCAAGTGCGCATGTTGGAAGGTTAAGATAGTATACATAAAAACTATTTTAGTGGATTTTGTAGCTTCAACGTAGTTAGATCAAAGTTAGGTTATATGTTAGATCGAAATTAGGTGCTAGTTGCTAACTTTCACACTTCTGGAGATCGCAACTTTCTGTTGACTTTAATATTCTGAACATCTTTTTCCAGTTTTCATGTAGAACAAGTCCTAGAAAATTCTGCATGCTCTCCACTGTGATTTATGCAGGATTTCCATGGGATGATGTTCTTTGTATGGCTAAAACACTGGCATTGATAGTCTCATGGAACCACTAAAGTACCCAGTTTTAATACATCGTGTTTCAAAAAGAATACACGTATTACAAAGTGCTATTTTGTCCAAACTGTTGATCACTGAGCCTCGGCCCGGCTATTGGCGAAACGAATACATAGTCTAGTTTATATTAATAGCTGCTAGATGTCAATTGTCTTCTGTTTTGCGTGGTAACCGTCACATGTTAAAATGGCTACTCCACAGCAGAAATCATTTTGTGTTCTCGATTTTGTGAAGTACAACTCTGTGATTACAGTGCAAAGACGTTTCAAGTTGAGGTATCAAAGTGAGCCTCCGAATGGGTGGAACATTCGCAGATGCTATCGACAGTTTGTAAACACAGGATGTGTATGTAAAGGAAAGAGTCCTGGCCGTCCTCATGTTCCCGACAAAAATGTTGCATGAATTCAAACTGCTTTCCAACATAGTCCTTCAAAATCAACTCATCGTGCCAGTCGGGAGTTACAACTGCCTACAACAACAATTTGGCATGTTTTGAGACGTTGGTTGGCTATGAAAGCCGTACAAGTTATGTTTGTTACAGGCTCTGCATTCTGATGACAAATGCAAATGTGTGACATTTTGTAACGAGACTTTTTATGGTATTGACTTTCACACGACGCATCGTGTTCAGTGATTAAGCGACATTTTACGTTAGTAGTCATGTAAACAAGCACAATGTTCGAATTTGGGGCCTACAGAACTCGCATGCAGCCATTGAACATGTACGAGATTCGCCCAAAATCAATGTGCTTTGTGCAATATCCCGATCATCTGTTTACAGCCCATTCTTCTTTGATGGAAACACGGTTAACGGTCAGCAGTATCTTGTCATGTTACAAAAACTGGTTGTTTCCGAGACTGCAAGTAGACAACTTCATTTTTCAAAAAAACGTTCTTCAGAAACACAAAGCAAATCATACTTTGGAATAGAACTCAGGAAAAGTTCACGTTCTTATGCACCGAAACGTTCAAGCTAACAAATCTCGAAAAACTGATAACTTATACTTTCTTTTTAATGGCATTACTGAATGATTTTAATTATTGATAAACATTAGCAATGATATAGCTTTTGCTTTCTTTTTAATGTCATTAAAGGATGATTTTAATTAGTTATAAACAGTAGCAATAATTTTTAACTACAGAATGATTGAATATTTTTCTGCTGTCAATATAGATGATAGTTTTCATTTAATAATTCACATTACCTTATTTCAGGTAAAACTAACTTGAATTAAGAAACATGTGACGTAAATACATCCAGAAATATATTTTAGCCAAAAAAAAAAAATGTCTCTAACTATCAAAACTCATTTGAAAAAATATCTAGAGATAAAAAAAATTAATGAATTGCTTCTTAAAACTAATACTTGTTTAATTTTATAGAATTCATTAGCTTAAATTTTTATAACCATGCAGAATTCACAAACGAATTTATTTTACGTAAATTGGTTAAATCCGAAAATCATTTAGTGTGGAAAAGGACAAGGGAAAGGGTATTTGGTGCAAATATGCAACCCAATATTCAGTCAGATGACACTATACAATTTTGTCATCAAGGGGGAGGGGGAATGAAAGATTTCAGAACAGCCAAGATGCAGTATCAAGTGGGCAGGACACCAAAATTTCACAACTGGTCATACAATTATAGTCGCACTGCGCTAACTGTGCAGCTCCACCCCAGTTTTGATGGGGAATATCCCACAGGACAGATTCAAGTCTCTTACCTCTCTTCTTCAACCACTTGACAGAAGTTTTGGCTTTCCAGTGCTTTAAATGTGCCACCATGCTGCAGAGACACTATATAGTTACAAACAAAATGTTTGTAAACCTGGGATTCAAACCCAGGCCTGATGATACAGCATACAGCATCACTAGCCACTCTACCAATCAGAACTGCATACTGTAAGAAGACATGAAAATTCTAATTCATAAGAACGGTTTAATTTAACCCTGTTTACTCGGTATGAAATGCTCAGAGCAAGAAAAAATATATCAAATGGCAACTACGAACCATGTCTGGAGTGCAAATGATTAATATAATAAAATCCTAATTCAGAGAGATACCAACAATATTAACAAATTGTAATTCTTAATTATATTTATTATATGCAAAATTTATTAATTGACAAACATTCAATCAATTATTATGTAAATGCTTTTAATGTCATTTATGATATAAGCTTTCATTTAATATAATTTTTATACATTTATAAAATCATTCTCATATTAAAACATAATAGAAATTATTATTCAACTTATTACAATAAAAATGCTGGGTATGTATTTTTAATGCAATAAATTTATCCTAAAAATGCATACAATAAAGAAAACAAAATTTAAAACTAAAAGCAAAAAGACAGAATAAATTCCACAAATTAAGATTATAAATATCAAACCATAGTTTGTAATTTTAACAAATGAAAACGTTCATCACGTTCATAACAGTTACACTAAACATACTTTCAGCAACTTTTAAACAACTAAGAATATTTTACACATTATTTGTACAGACTATAATATTAAACATGAAGGCACAATTTAATAAAAACTTACTTTTCCTGGTATAAAGCAGCATAGCTTGAACCACACATATTTCCTAAAATACATGTCAATCATAGACAAAAATGTGCGAGCCTCATTTACAATTTCACAAAGTTCTTTCCAAAGATCTACTCTTTCATCTTCCTTTTTGACATTAGCTTCAAGTTCCTGTAGAGACTGATTACAGTAACTAAGAATTTTATCAAAGCCAGAATTCAGAATGCTTTCAGATGCATCATTGAATCTTTTGCATACCTGCAAATTTTTGAAGAATTAGACCTTTTCTTGTTACAGGACAACAAATACCAAACAATTTTTTATAAAAAGATATATTGTTACCATAAATAAATGTTTTTGATCGCTTATAACATTCCTACTAAATCAAATGGAAGAGAAACATACTAATGTGAAATTTAAAACTAAACAAATAAAGTGTCCTTTGTTTGAAGGTGATTTTGAATAAACTTTTTACTGCAAGAAAAGTTGGATACTTCATGAATATTTGCACCTCCACCAAATAAACTCATTGGTTAACAGTTTATCAGCAAGCTAATAGAAGAAAGGCAACAGACATTTCCAAAATGGTGGCACAATAAAAATTCCATATGAAAGCAATCAATAATTTTTTTTAAAAAAATACATCAGTAATAAAATTATCTTTTTCACGAATTTATTTTTCCATTGTTATTCTTCATATGCACACAACAATTTACTTCCACTTAAAAAAATCACACAACTGCACAAATTTGTTATCCATAAACGTTTTTTTAAAAAAATACATGGCTAATCTTTGGAATATGGTAACAGGTAGTTTGGCGACATTTTGGTAAGGCGATAAAGGTTACTAGCTAGGACTTTAGCAGTGTACATGGATAAAGTCAAGAGTGTGCGCAATGCCATTTTTGTGCAATTCTGGGATGTTTCTTTAAGTGAAAATAGGTCAATGTGTACATGGATACCGTGTATGTGCAATTCTTAAAAACACGGTAAGCAGTTTGCGATTCTGCACTTTCTCCCAGTTTTGCACCTAATCTTTGTCATGATTAAGCATTTTTATTCCATAAAAGTTCTAGTATAAGCGTAATTCGGGTAGAATATTGTTGGAAAAAATGTTGAGTTAAAAAAAAAAAAAACATGCCTTTACTTCGTGAAAACAAAATGGCGTCCAAAACAAAACTAGCAGTTTGGTGTAGCAGGGTTGGTCGCCAAATTTTCGCGGAAAAATCGCCAGGTTACCATAATCCGAAGATTAACCAAATACATCAGTAATAAAAATTATCTTTTTCAAGAATTTATTTTTCCATTGTTATTCTTCATATGCATACAACAATCTACTTCTACTTTTAAAAAAAATCATGCAACTGCACAAATTTGGTATCCATTCAACTTCAGCATTTAGCAATGGCCAAAAGACATGCTATGTACATACCTAGGTTGCACATTTATACTTTTTGATGGCACTGTTGGTTTCCACATAACTACTTTAGCAACATACTGCTTTTCCGTATGAATACTATTTTCAACTTTTCACTGAGGAAGCAGATAATCCCAAAGTACCAGAAAGTCTTTTTCTCAGTGTAAGTAATGTCAATACAAACTTTATAAAGTGTGTCATTTTATTCTCTGCTTTGCTTATTGAAATAACTACATAAAAGATATATTTCTTATGCTAAGAAAATTTTACCACAATCATAATTAACTGATGATGAAAATATGCTGTTTTGCTGGAAGTCTCAAGTTTGCATATATATCTTTCTACAAAAAAATACATAATGCATGTCATATAATGCGAAGGATCTGAAAATTATGTATCATAAATTGCAACAAATATAGGTTTAAGCAAGGCCAGCACCTATGCATTGCCATATGTTAGGTATTGCCGGGCTTTGCTAACTTTTAAGCGTCTGTCTCAATTTTGAAGGTGAATAACCTCAGTGGCAGTCAAACGGTTCCCCACCTCTCTTCCCCTACCACCAAACTCTTGAGAGATCATTCAGCTCACTGCCTGTTTAAAGTGTCCCCCTTACCTCCCCCCACACACAATACACTTACAAACATTGATACCTTCTACGGGATTCAAACCCGGGCCCATTGGTACAGCAGTCAGCATCACTAATACAGTCAAAAGTCGTTAATTCGGACACCCATAATCCGGAATAATCTATAATCCGGAGCTCAAAGCTAAAAACTTTCTGCGCATGCGCCGCGTTGACGCATGCGCATAGGCGTTTAAGCGTGCGCGCAAGACCTTTACGACTGCGCATATGCGTCTTCGCAAGCGCAGAATACGTTTTCGCGTGCGCGTTTAATGTGTAACGGACGGTATAAGCTAAAATTATCTAATTATCTATTTCAGTTAATGCTGATGATTGCGTTGTTCCTTAATCTTCGAATTGGATCCGGCTTATTATTTTTTGCAGACTGTAAGAGCAATTTTATAAAAGTAAGTTTGAACTTTCGATTATGTCAAATAGAATTTCCGATGCTGGAGCTCCCAAAGGATCTAGAAAACGAAAGTATGTTTCGATGTCCATCAAACAAAAAGTGGAATTGCTACAAAAAATGGATAAAGGCATATCCTTTATTTATCTAACCGTTCCGAAATCTGTTTATCAATTTCACGCTGCTCTGCGCGGGGGGGGGGGACGTCGCGGGCGCGCAATGAACTGGAAGTTGATCTGCCAGCACTATCATTATCTTCAGGGCAGATGTTTTTATTTTATTCGGCTTATAATTCCTTACTAAATGTAGTATTTCATCTCGATGTACTCCGTCTTTGATATGATTTAAATCAAATTCCTCGTCATTATAAATATCACGAATACACATCAAATAATTTTCTGGTTGCAATTTTCTAATTTCGATTTTGCGCAATGTATGCTTTACGCATGGGCGCGTTGAAAGAAATGTTTAATAAAGTAAACAAATAAATATTAAGCTTTTTTTGGTAAGTTTTGATATTCTTTAGATCATAATTGCTCATTATTTTATAAATTACGGTTTCATATTTTTAATTTTATAATTTCTGCATGCCATCTTACCAGATTTAAACTGTTGATCTATAATCCGGAAAAATCGATAATCCGGAATCGCCGAAGTCCCGACGAGTCCGGATTAAAGACTTTTGACTGTATATTACCTGGGTGGCCATATAGTTGAACTTAGTTGCCTAATAAATATACAGATGTAATAAAGCACAATATTTCTTTGTTAATGGGATACCAAATATAAACACTGGTTTAGAATATAACTAAATGGTGGCAACCCTAACGATTCCTAAACTATGAAAAAATTTACTATTTTATTTAATCTAGAATAAATGAAAAAAAATGTGAAAGCTTTCAGATTTTACATTACACCCAAAGGGACTTTCCAATACAGTGTCTCACGTGCTGAAGATAAAAATGTTTTCTGTCTGTACAGATTTGCCATTGCTCGCTTTGAAATTATTGAGTTTGTTAATCAAAAATTTGTTAAAGTGTTACAGAATATTAAATTGATAATAAAAAAAATTTCAAATTCTAAATTAGGGCTTCCAGATCCTTATACTCGGTGGAAGATTACGTTATTCAAAATCTGACGACTCTAGGTAACATACTTTTATGCAGATTCTTCATTATTTAATTTCTTTAAATATAACACTGGGCGATAGTATTTAGTGGCAATAATTTGAAAAGTGAACAGACATTTATAGTGAATCAATGCAAAATGCCAAAACGAAATTAATAGCCCTTCTGGGCTAAAAAATAAAGACAAGTACAAAAAAGGGAGAGATTTTTTACTAGATTATTTTCAGAATACACTGAAGGCATAAAACTGCCGATTCCATTTAACAATGCTGAAAACGTGCATGCAAATGCCACATGAATTCAGTAAAGTAAGAAGATAAATGATGCCATGCTCATGTTTATTTTGCCATTTTGCATATGGCATCTTGTAATGGAATGAATATCATTATATTTGCAGATATCTTGCAAATGTTAATTGCAAATGTTCAATTTATCTGCTCAAGCAGCAGAAAAATCTAAAAATTTCTAAATTTATAACAAACCAAAAAAACTATATAACTTCTTTCCCTCATTTTGCAGTGGACTGTTCCGAGGTGCTTTGTTCTCCTTCCTCTAAGTTTTGAACCTGGACTTTGCCAGCACTAGCAGTAAACAAGAAAACTTTGCAGTGACTTTTCAAACCACTATGACAAAAGAATACGTAATCCACCCCAAGCTGTAATCTTATATTTTTCTATACATGTTCTATGTTGCATTTCTAAAGTAAACATTTTAAAACGATTTGTCGGGTCAATCATTATGGGAGAAAATCATCGTTCCTGGTACAAAAATGCCACCTAATTTTGCAGAAGTTTATGGTATGGTGTTCCATGGTAGCTTGCTGGCTTATGTCAATGTCTATGTTAGTTGATGCAATACAGCTTTAATTCAACAGATAAGTGTTTTTTGATTTATGAATTATCTATGTTAATGTTATTTTGTCACATAAATAACCAGTAAATAAAAATTAATAGCCAGTTTACAGAACTGTAGCTACTGTAAGTGTAAGAACTGTAGAACTGTAAAGTGAAAATTTTTCTTTGTTGCAACTGCTTCGAAATCATTACCTGATACTAGTAGAGTATGATGAAGGTCTAGCGTTAGGAATGGAGAAAAATAAATAAGCAGAAATTCATCTGGATTAACATATATGGAAAATACAAAATCATTATAGGCACAGCAAATGTTACATGGTAAGCATGGTAAAGTAAACAAGTGACTGAAAATGTTACCAAAAACAAGAAATAAAAATCGTGTTGCCACACATGTTGCAAAATACAAATAGGAAATATAATCACAAATTAAAAGTTATTAGCAACACTCCCCTTTGATTAAATTTCCCCCAGTCCTACACTGAACCTTTGATTGAACAAGGCTTTCTTTTGCACACTCTTTGTCAACATGCCTGCTACATTTCAACTAGAAGGCACATAGGTAAAGTTCAACAATTTCTCTTCAACCTTCTCTTTCAAGAAAAAATGCCCGATTTCAATATGTTTGCAACGCTCTGAAGTGACATAGTTTTTGGCTAAAGAAATGGCACCCTGATTATAAACAAATAAGTTTTGTGGAAAATTTTAAAAATTTTCTCCCACAATTTCCTTAAAAAATTTTTGGAACCACAGTACTTCCTCGGCTGCGTGGCACATTGAGAGGTACTCGGCTTCAACTGTTGACAATGCAGTCGTTTGTTGTTTCTTACTGCTC